TAAATTACACAAGATACTTAGCACTTTATTATAAAATAGACATTGTGTTAGACAACTTCCCCCAACTGTAGGCTAGTATAGGTGTTCTGAGCGTGTTTAAGGTAGGCTATGACATTCAGTAGGTGTATTAAATGCATTTGTGATTTATAATATTTTCAACTTAAAATGGGCTTATTGGAATATAATCCCTTCATAAGTGGAGGAGCATCTGTATAGTGAGTTTCCTAAAAGCCTATGTCTCTATATCTAACTGAATTGTTTATCTACAAAAGGCATAGCACAGTGTTTTATATATAGTTAAGTGCTCCAGATAAGAAACAAAACACTGATACTTTTCCTATGAGGTGGTTGTGGTGAAGATTAAATAAATCCATTAGACTTTTGCTACTCTGAGTGGTATCAGCATCACCAGGGAGCTGGTTAGACATGTAGTCTCAGGGCCCATCCCAGACTTAGTGAATTAGAATCTGTAGTTTCACAAGATCCTCAGGTGATTCATAGTCTCATAAAAGTTTGAGAAGCACTGTTATATTGTAAGTTCCTTGAGGGCAGGGATTACGTATGGCACATAGCATGTTCTCAGTAGTATTTTTTGTTGGAATAAATGAATGGTGCCACATAAGAAAGCATTGTGTAAACTTAAGTCTTACATACACAGGACTTTAAGTATAGGACTTTAAGTCCTATGTACACAGGATTGTGAAAGAACAGCAGTATAGATTTTGGGCTTAACTATAAAATCTTTTAGAGAAAGTTTGGACTGGCACTTACAGTTCTAGTTTACTTATTGAAGCAAGTATATTTATTTTTCTTATATCTGAGTGACAATTCCATAGGAAACCCAGTTTTTGATAGGAAATATAATAGTCCCTTAACTGAAATTGACTTTATAGTGAATTTATTAGCATGACAGTTAATTATGAAACTTCTGAAGATTGACAAAGAAAATTTATTTGGTTCCATTTTCTGTAAGAGATAAGACCTTGATGAACAACTAAGAAGCTGATGTCAGGCTTTAAGGGACAGGATTGGTAGATGTTGTATAGTTATTATCAACCTCTAACAAGGAAAACCCATCTAGTTTTCCACTTACAGTGTTCCAGCTTGAAATGCTTTAATTTATTCATTTAATCATTCTTCAAATCATCAAACATTTATCAAATTTGTCACTCTGTGATGAGTGCTGTGCTAGGACTTTCTGATGGATTGCCAGGTACAATATTCTTGAGGAGTTCCATATCAATACCATGACGATACCTTTTCAACTACATGGGCTAACGATAGGCTTTTTATGATTTATGAATTCACGAATGTTAAAGTCTTAAAATGCTATTAAAATTAAACCACATTGGTTATATATTTAGCAAGTCTATTGAAAAGGGTAAAGTTATCTTTTCCAGATAAATCCAATCTACATGGTTAACACTTACAGAATAGGAATTGCTTGTACTTAGGGTTGTTCAAGGAACATAAGAGGGGTATCCTGGCAATTTCCCATTTACACCTACAGGTCCATTTTTAACCCTATTTGTCTTGCATTTTACTGGAAGCTGAACTCTACAGACTGTGCCACACAAGCCCTCTGGTTTCTGGATTGGTCAATAGGAGGTACCAACAGAAGTTTGGAGGATGGGAAGAAAAGAGGACAAGTGTTTATTCCCCAGTCCTTTGCTGGGCCACATTTTGGCAGTGACTGTATTTCTTTATTTATAGTAACAGCCTTTGTCAGGCATCCCTTTCCGAGCTACAGCTCTTACAGGGTTCCACTAATAGCTCCCCTCGCCTGTTCCTTCAAGCTTAAGTTCTCCCATTGTTGCCAGTCCTTAAGTGCTTTACCATTCCTTGTTGGTTCCCTTAACCACTTCCATCCCTCTATAAATTATCCCTTTATTAAGCTCTCGTTACTTTCGTAGAGTGTGCCATCTTTAGTAATAAAAGAAGAGGCCATAAATCAGCTAGTATCTAAGGACTGCCTGCTGAGTTGGCACTGTTAAGACATATAATACATGATCTTGCTCTTGAGACACTTACAGTCAGCCCAGTGAAGGAGATAAAACCAACACATGTGAAGCAATTAGGAAACACTACACATTGGTATCTAGTGAGACACTCCATTTGTTTGCCTCTTACTAACCATTCACCCTTCTTCTGACAACCATCGCCTGATTTTCCTCTTCTGTTACTTCAGTCAATGTCTTTTAGGTGGAGTAAACTTCATTTTCAAAAACATTAATGACATGAATCAGCTCTGAGCTACTGGATTCCTCTAGCCACATGTCCCAATCAGAGCCAATGAAATGTAAGAAGACTATTGCTGGCACCTGTGAGAAGGAGGCATGCACTCTTCCACTGAGATTGCTAACAGTAAGGATTATGTAAACTTGAGCTGTTAGCAGCCACCACATGGAGCCTAAAAATGAAGCCAACACAAGACAGAGTCAAGAGATGAAAAGAAATAGAATTCTAATGACATTGCTTAAGCCCTTGGATCAAACTATGCCTTAAGCTAAATACATAACTAGTTTTTCACTAAAATAGCTCTAACAATTCATAAATTGGTACCAGGAGTGGGGATTAGTAACAGAAAGATCCAGAAATGTTGAAGTAGTTGATTCAGATGAGGCCTCATTGGTATCAGGCTGGGACTTTAATAGCAAAGCAGTAGGTTAAACTGACACCTGTTGTATAGGGGGATTCAGAACATGTGCCTATCAAGGATAAAATGTAAAAGGGCCTGTTGTTAAAAGGTCAGATACTAAAATATATCAACTATTACTTGTTAGTTTTTAGTAATGTCCTATAAGAAAGACTCAAACTTAGGACTGAGATTGATTTATCTAAGGCAGAGAGGAAAAGATATCACTTTGCTACAAGTGAACATTTTTGCTTATAGGCTGCAATAAAAGATGACAGAAACATCAATAATCTGGAGCCATAAAGGGTTGAAAAAGCCCCAAGAGAATGTTAATGTTAATGAAAGCAAGAATGGATAAGATTGGCACTAGGGAGAAGTCTTAATACACTCAGGCCTCTTTCAAGCAATTCCTGCCTGCTGAGAAAGGTAATAGTTATTCAATTCTACTCCCTCCACCACCAGCTCACTCCCTCCCCTTGCATCACTCCCTCCCCTTGCAAACCCAGTGGCTATTGTTTCAAATTGTTATCAGGCAGAAACCAAAATAGAGGCCTTTAAGTTAGAATACCAGGGCCTATTACTAAAAGACAAAAATGCTCAGATGAAAATCTAGATTCAAAGACTGAAGCTTAAAAAAATCCTCTGGCTTTGGAATTTCCCCCTCCATGGAATTGGCCAGATGCAAAGAGACTAGAAGTTTACTAAGAATTAAAGAAAACTGGGCCAGGCGCAGTAGCTTACGCCTGTAATCCCAGCACTTTGGGAGGCCGAGGCAGGCAGATCACCTGAGGTCAGGAGTTCAAGACCAGCCTGGCCAACATGGTGAAACCCCATCTCTATTAAAAATACAAAAATTAGCCAGGTGTGGTGGCACATACCTGTAATCCCAGCTACTCAGGAAGCTGAGGTGGGAGAATCGCTTGAACCCAGGAAGTGGACATTGCATGAACCGAGATCACACCATTGCACTCCAGCCTGGGCAACAAGAGCGAGACTTTGTCTCAAAAAAAAAAAGAAAAAAGAAAAAAAAAGAATTAAAGAAAATTGTACTGTGAGAGAAACCCTAAGTGTGGAGAACAAAGGCTCGGTTACTTAAGCTTAACACAATAGATATTTATTTTTCACTTTTGTAAAGTCCAACATCAGTGCCCCGAAGTAGCAGGTGGTCCTCTGTCCTCCAGGTCCTTAGAGACCTCTCGGTGCAGCCAGAAGAGGGAAAAAAAGACTGGCAAAGGCATACCTACTACTTAACCAAATTGGCTAGAAGTGGTACACATCACTTTCACTCATATTCCAGCAGAGATAGTCATGTGACTTCAGCAACGTTAACAAGGAGGCTGGGAAATGTAGCCCCTGGCTAGGTAGCTAGTTCTCAGCAACAATTGTATACAACAGAAGAGCTTCACAACTCTTGGATGGTAAAAGCTAATTATCTTTGCCATAGGAAGTGATTTTTCAATTCCCACTAGATCGGGAAGGAGAATGCTGAAGAGGTGTAGTCCCTAAAGGATTCTCCTCCCCATTGTCCGTTACAGACGTAACCATGGAGGAAATAATGAATGAGAGATCCTCCAAAAATAGAACATATGGCAGCCAGATTGGTTGATCAAAGAACTTTCTCCCCTCTCATGTTAGGAAGCCCTTGCTATCCCTGTCTAGTAAGATATGACATATGCTATGAATTGGACACATTTTGTGTTTGTCATTATTCGTATTTCCAAATAAGAGTTTTCATTGCAGTTGTTCTTTTTTTCTGTCATTATATATTAAGTATTTTCTAGTTAATTTTATCATATATCCTTAGGTTACTAGGCCATGAAGAACTTTATCAAATTGCTTTATGATAGAGAGGCATGCATATCACCTTACTATCCTGGACTTGGGAGTTATTTGTAGGACCTAGATGTGAGTACATTTTGGGTGGTAAAAAAAAAAATGTCATTACATTGAGTAGCCATAGGTATCAGTGAAGGCATATGTAGGGAAAGAATGTTTGGAGACCTCAATAAAATACCAGGGATGTGTGTGTGTCTGCTGTTTCCGTTACCCAGGACACATCTGCTCTTTTTCTGATAACCATACCCCTATTTTAAGTCAAATCATCTGTGCCATTCATGTGTTACCAATAGACACAACTCCTGGGATGGGCTTGTGAATCAGTCCAGGCCAATCTGAGCATCTTATTCTTTTGGCAACACTGATTGGCTGACAAAAGAATGGGCGCTTGACCTTTGTTGGTAGTGAGGATGGTCTGGAGCTTCTGGTTGCTCATTTGTGGAATGAATGAAGCAAACAGCAGAGGAGAGTGCTAACATGTGGGGGAGAATCTGAATCTCTCTCTCTCTTTTTTTTTTTTTTGAGACAGAGTCTTGCTCTGTCACCCAGGCTGGAGTGCAATGGTGCGATCTCAAGCTCACTGCAACCTCTGCACAGGTTCAAGTGGAGAATGTGAATCTTGATGATATAGTTGGAACTCTTCAGCCAAGCCATATCTAACAGAACTATCTTCAACTTTTCAGGTATGTGAGAATACATTCCCTTCTCACTTTACACCAATTTGGGTTGGACTTTATGTCACTTGTAACCAATGGATCCTTACTGAATCAAATACTAAGTTATGTGAGGATAGATCCATAAACAAATACATATAGGAATGAGTGAATATAAATATACTTCTGGGGAAAACCTAACTAAAATGGAAGTGGTAGACTGAGGAGTGGTTCACAGGGTAGAAGGGAAATAGACTAGGGAAAGAGCTTGAAATTCAGTCAGGGCCAGGCACAGTGGCTCATGCCTGTAATCCCAGCACTCTGAGAAGCCGGGGCAGGTTGATCACTTGAGCCCAGGAGTTCAAGACTAGCCTGGGCAACATGGCAAAAACCTGTCTCTACAAAAAATAAAAAAAATTGCTGGGTGTGGTGGCACATGCCTGTGGTCCCAGTTACTCAGGAGGCTGAGATGGGAGGTTCACTTGAACACTGAGAGGTAGAGGCTGCAGTGCGCTGTGATCACACCATTGCACTCCAGCCTTTGCACCTAGGCAACAGAGTGAGACCCTGTCTCAAAAAAAAGAAAAACAAATTCAGTCAGAAGAGTTTAAATTTAACAAAATAGAAAATTTAGCCATAAAGGTGCTGAAGCACAAAGAGATGTGCTAAGAGTGAAGATTCAAAAGAATTATTCTGGCAGGTTGGATTGGAGTAGAGCAAGAAGGAAGTCAGAAAGGTTACATAGAAACTGCTGAACTAATCCTAGCTGGCAACATTTAAGGGCTTAGACAGAGACCCTGAAGTAGAGACAGAGGAAGGGATTTGACATGAGGTATTTTAAAGGATAAATCGAAGGCCCTGAGATGACTGGTTAAAAGAAATAAAGGAAGGAATGGGTAAAAAATGACATCTATGTATTCAGCTTGGGTGGCAGAGATAGCAGTGGTATCAATGAGAAAGAAGGGAAGTGATTTTGGAAAGATGAGATTATGAGATTGGTTTTTGGACCTGTCGAAACCGGAAGATGGCAAGATGTCCAATTAAATACGTTGATGAGATAAAGAGGCAAATATACAAGTTGGGGGCAAAAAAGGTAACATTAAAGATAAGGATTTGCACAGAAGAAACACTTGAATCAATAGTTGTAGATGAGTACAAGAGGGTGAGAGAAAAGCAGAAATAAACACTGCTAGACCGGGAGGAAAAAAAATGGTGTCTCTGAATGAAATGAAATGTAGTGTCTGGTGGAGACACAGGAAGAATGTAGGACACTTTAGTGCATACAAAACTTAGAGAACTTTCAAATTATGTTAAAAGTAAATACCAAGCACGCACATACTCATCACCCCATCTCCAGCCTTATTTCCAATTGTTTTTCTGGCTTACTGCACAGCATTCACACTGGCCTGCTTTCTGCTAATTCAAACTCACCAAACTGTCTCTGGCTGCAGAGCCTTTGCACTTGCTCTTCCTTCTGCCCAGAAACTTCTCCCCACCCCCCACAACCCCAATGTTTGCTTGGCTTTCTACCTCATTTCATCCAGACCTCTGTTTAAACATAACTTCCGCAAAGAGGCCTTCTTCGGTCAACTTATCTAAAATATAAAATAGTGTCCAACTCTCATCTGCATCCTTCTTTGTCCTTCTGCTCTGCTTTTTCTTCACAGCGCTTTTCCCTACATGACATTATACAATTGTGTATGATTGTAAATGTACTATCTCCCCCACTGGAGCAACTGTAATGAGGTTCCAAGAGTGCATTCGTTTTACTCACTGATGTATGTCTGATAAGTAGAACAGAGCCTGGCACAAACAAAGCCTTCAATAAGAGTTTCTTTCATGATGAATGAGTGAAATGCGGTAATTAAGATGAAAAGAAAAAAAATCAGAAGAGGTCGGAGTCTAAGTCACAATTCCTAGAACATGCCTGTCATTTCACCCAAAAACTCTGCTTAAGGCTCTCACTCTGGCTGCATCTCCTCAAGGGGAAAGGAATTAAGGGAAGTTTGCTACTGCCAACGCAGGGACTTGGGATTCGTTCCTGGATGATAGTGGTAAGAATGCTGTTTTCTCCAGAATTACTTCGTTAGTAAGAGACATGTCCAATTCCAGACTTCACAGACTTCACTTCCTTCTCCAGCTGAGCTCCAAGTGGAGCTTTGAGAGAAAAACAGAAGGGTGATGGCTGGAAGACTCAAGGCTTCCAAAGTATTCCTCTCCTGAGTATCAGCAACCAGGTGAATCTCACAATGAGTATGACAACTTGGAAGGGGCAAGAGTCACGTGCTTGAGGGGAAAGGGCACCAGGGTGCAATCTCTGTTAATCCTTCTCTATACCCAGCTTCCCGCTGCGGCCTGTACAGAAACAAGCACGCAGGCACTTAAGGGGACAGTGGTTTCACCGCGTCCCTCCCGGCGGCGGCTCCCCACCTTTCCCTCCTCCCCACATGCCCCTCCCAGGCTGCAGGCTCGGCAGCCGACTTCCGCTGATCTGGGCTGGAGGGAGCCTAGAATCCAATTACTCTTCCCTAGGGAGCGCAATCCACCCGTCTGGCCGCAAAGAGCGGAGCCGGGGTCGGAGAGCCGAAGAGGCCGACCCTGCTCCGCCCGCCCCCACTTCCCGCCGCCCCAGCCTCAGGCTCGGCAACCAGGGTGGGGCAAGCAGAGCCACGAAGGGGCGCGCGGCACTGCCGCCGGGACTATTTGTCCTTCCGCGCGCGGCCCGGCCCGGCACGGCGCGGCGAGAGGTCCGCGGCGCTGCAGCCCCGGCGCCGACGTCGGCCGGGCTGAGTGGCAGGAGATTAGCCAAGGGCTTCCCCCGCCGCGCGTCCTGGCCAATCGGCTCCGCGGGCGGTGCTCGAGGGACGCGCACACGCACTTTCCAGAATCCACGCCTCCCAGCAACAGCCTCCAGCCCCGCGACGCTGCCCTTCCGGCCCCTTCTCTCCGTTGGGCCTGCTCTGGCTGCGGGCCTGGACCCTGGCCTCTGGCCTGTGGGCTTTTGCGTGCTGCTCCTTAAAGTGACAGGGAAACGGGGCAAGAGGTCCAAGGGTTCCGTAGGAGAAGGAGACTTAGTATCTGTGGCTCTCCCACCGTCCCGGCTTCCCTAACCGACTGGGGAGTGAAGCTCTAGAGATGGATCTTTGGGAGGAAAAAACTGGACCTCCCTTCGGGTTCTTTAGAGTTTAGGTGAAGAACTCTTTCAGTACCATTGAGTGTTCTCTAGTAAGATGATCTTAGACTGATGGATTTCTCGCTTGCTTTAAAGCTGTGGTCAGAGTACTTCATATATCCTTTCCTTTCTGCATCTGGGGGAAGGAAAAAAAACACTTTTTACACATTGTCAGGCCGCAACGCAACTGACATACATGCTAGAAGGAGATGTTATATTATGCCTTGTGTCCTCTTTTGAATCACATTCTCCTGAGATGTGGCTGACCCTTAGGCCCATGGTGTTCTTGAATGTGATTGACATGCGTGTTTAGCAAGCTAGTGAGAGAGAACCAGGGAAATTGCTATCAAAACAATTACATACAGGGACATCAGAACAAAGGCTTGAGACCACTGGGGAATGAGGGACCATCCCAGTTCTGCAACGGATGCCCTCGGGGTTGGTGGCCAAGTCAGATCTTTGTGTCTTGCTTCTTCGTAGCATACTGAATAGAACTGTCTTCACCACGCTCACTATTTCAGTGTGTTATAAAAATAAGGTGAAAATGTTGAAGGTTTTGTTTCGGGTGGAGGGAAGGTGGTGCCGTTGAAAGGCACTCTCTGAAGGGAAGATTCTGTAAAAGGAAGCCATTTTATCTGCCTACAATTTGGTCATTTCAAAGAAATTCAATATACATGTGTTAAGACTATATGCTGAGTTGTGTGCTATGTAGTCTTCATAAGAGTTATAATCTAGTAAACCCAGCTAACTCCTGCATTCTCAGATGGTTTCCCATGTCTGTGCCAGTTTCCATCCCTAAATTCTGGCCATTTTAATTCCCTATTTCTGCTCAAAGGCTACAAAGCATTGCTAGATACAGGTACAGAATGATGCTGTGGTGGGAGCTCCCCAGTTGAGTGTAAACTGTGGCTGTAGTCCAGACGTGTGATGTATCTGTGGAACTGATGGCTATAGAAGCCATTTGACTGGAGCGATTGAGGAGCCTCCTGGGACAGAACAATCTTTGAGGAAGAAGGAGCCAGACACACTAAAATTGAGCTAGGAACAAAGACAAAGTCTTGGGAAGGGAGAGGTCCTTTTGTATTCAGCCTTGTGTCCTGACCCTTGTCTGAATCCTGTAGGAGTTGGGGAGGAGGAAGAAGATGGAAGGAGGCAGTAAGTGAAAACTGAAATACCTGTCAAACTTTTTAACTTCCAGATTTCACATTCATAACACATGCCCTCACTTCCTCCTTTAGTAGAAAAAAAAATCAAGGTGTCAACAAAAGTGCAAACAACAGGAAACCTGACTAGAGGTGGAAATATGAAAAATATGGAATTTATTATCTCATAAAATAAGTTTGGAGAAAGGTGGTTCCAGTATTGGTTGGTCAAATAACTTAGGGAAGTTGTCCAGGATTGAAGTGGGATTCTTCTTTCTGCTCTTCCATCGTCACATGATAGTAATTTCTCCTGTCATGTCGCTACATGGTTAAACGATAGCGTCTGCTTGTCTTGATGTCAAATACAGTCGGGCATCCAGCAAAGTAGCAAAGTATAGGGATACTATTTCTCTCTCTCCCTCTCTCTCTCTCTCTCTGCCTCCCTCCCTTCCTCCTTCTCACAGTAAAGGAAGGGAAACCCTTTTTAGAGGCTTCTAGCAGAACTGAGTCCCACTGGGCAGAATTGTGTCACACATGAATCCTAAACTGATTATTTGTAAGGGGGGTGACACTCATCGTAATCTACTCCTCATGCTGGGGAGAGAAATCACCCTCTGTGAACACATGGAAGGATATGATCAGAACATCAAATTTTGCCAGAAAAAAAGTGGCTATGGCTTAAGCCCCAACAAGTTCCTTAATTTTTCCTTTCCTCTACCTCAGAATGTTTCTATATCTACTGTTCTGCATCACCTCTAAATTGTTCTCTTTATCCATCCCCTCCCCTCCCCTCCCCTCCCCTCTCCTCTCCTTCCCTTCTCTCCCTCCCTTCTCTCTCTTCTCTCTCTCTCCCTTCTCTCTCCCTCTCTCCCCTGTCTTCTCTTTCTTTCTTTTGGCAAAAGGGTCTGGCTCTGTTGCTCTGGCTGGAGTGCAGTGGTGTGATCATGGCTCACTGCTCACTGCAGCTTCAACCTCCTAGGGTCCAGTGATCCTCTCATCTCAGTCTCTTGAGTAGCTGGGACTATAGGCACAAGCCACTATGCTCAGCTGATTTAAAAAACTTTTTTTTTTTT